TTCTTTTCCAAAAGTGGCAATAAAAATGTATTTGGTCATTATATACTGAAAATGACCCTCTTTGTCAAATTATCATAAATTTGTAGCATACTATGTTAAATTTGAGAAGTCAAATCAAACACAGACTTCAATTTCAACAACTCAACTAATAAGGTTGAGTACCTTATAGTATGTATTTTGACCACATGGACAGCTTTTTTGTGACATATCTGTTCAAATCTCTTGTCCATTTCTTTATTGAGTTTTCTTACATTTTCCCATTGATCTGTAGTACTTCTCTACATTTTCAAGATGACAGCCCTTTGCTGACATTATACATTTCTAAACAGATCCCAAACTGTGACTTGCATTTTTATCTTCTTAGTGATGATTTTAGATATATAAATATTGTTCATGCTATAATTTTTCTTTATGAATACCACTACTTGAATCATTTTTAATTTTTTTTACCTATTGAAATGAATATACTTGCCTTTGAACCTTCTAGAATACTAACTATCCTCCACATTGAGATCTATAATTGGTCTGACATTGATTTCTCTGTATGCTGTGAGGGAGAGCCCAATATTCACCTTTTCCAATTATACATTCAATTGGCCCAGATCAAATTATTGAAAAAACTGCTCCACAGTGCCAACTTTGTCAAAGATCAAATGTCCATAAATGTACATTTGTCTATTTTCCTATTTTTACAATAACAATCTTATATTGTATGAGATTTGATAGAAGTCTTCCATGTTTGATCTTTTAGAATTTGTTTTAACTATAGTTGGCCCTACGCATTTTCAGATAAATTTTAGAATTAGTATGTTAGTTTACAAAGGAAAATAATCTGCTAAAATTTTATTAGGATTATATTAAACCTACAGATCCATTTGGGAAGAATTTATATCTCTGTAATATTGAGATTTTTCAAACAATTATCAAAATGTAGTCTCCATTTATTTAGTTCTTCTTTAATTTCTCACAATACAGGCTTATAGTTTTGTTTCTGTAAAGATCCTTCATATACATCTTTAGATTTTTTTCCTTAAGTTGTTAATGTTTTCTGATGGCAACATACGTTATATTGCTTTAAAATTATTCCTGGTATACACAATTACATTTTGTTGATTTTTTATATTGATCTTTTATGCAACAACCTATTGCTCATATACCTTATGTATGATATCATATTTTACTTTAAATGCTTTTTTGCATTGCCTAGAAACTCTAATACAATGTTGAATAAAACTGGTGTTACATTCAAAAACCCTCATCTTCTTCTCCAACTAAAAGAAAAAGCTTTCAACATTTCACTGAACATTTGCAATAGTTTTTGTGTTAGAGTGCATCTTTTACCATGTGAATTATTTGCTTCTCCTCTAGTTCACTACAATTTGTGTCATGAAAACATGTTAAATTTACCAAAATATTTTTCTACATCATTTAAAAATATTATAGGACTTTACTTCTCTATTCCTTTAATATCTTAATTACCAAGGAAACTTCACCCATGAAGTGATCTAGGCCTGGAAGGTTTCTCATTTTGTTTTGTTTTTGTTTATATGTATGATTGTTTACTTGTTTTGAAGCAAGAATTTCAATCACAGACTATTTCATTGATATGAAATTACTCCAATTTCTATCTTTTCATGTGTCACTCTGGAAAATTTTGTTTTTCATAGAAATTTGTCATGATTCATCTGATTTTTTAAATTTACTGTCTTACATCTGCTAATGATATGCTCTTCTTAACTTCCAATGTCTATACAACCTTTAGCAATGTCCCTTTTCAATCCTGACATGTTATTTGAGTGACATCTTTGTTTTTAGTTTCTGGGTGGAATTTGTTTATTTTATATTATTTATTGTATTACTCTTTACCAACCAAATATTTGGTGATTACTGGTGACTTTATGGATTGTCTACATCATTCTACTTCATTAATTTGTGATCTAATCTCATATTCCTTTCCTTTTCCTATCTTTATTTTCTTTATCCTTACTCTGCTGTTCTTTATGTAGCTTCATAAAAAGATGCTTTGGACTACTGATTTTCAGGCTTTTAAAAGCATTTTCTTTTTTTTTTTTTTGCTGGGAAAGAAAGTTTTATTTTAGGTAGTGAAAATTTTTTTTTACATCTCAGTAACACTGTTTTCATTTCAGTGGCCTTTAGTGATTAATAAATACACTCTACGATTTGTCAGGATCTCTTAAGCAATGAGTTAAGATTTTTTTTCTATTTTCTAATAAATACACTCAAAAGGTATAACTCTCTCTCTCTCTTATTCCCTAAATCACATATATTTTAATGTGTTATCATTCTGTACAAAATTATTCCTAAGGAGTTTATTAATTTTTATATTAGGGTTTTTCTGATTTTTTTGCGTATTATCACCAAGAACTCATTTTTGGGTTCGTTTCACTGTGATATGTTACTCAGTAGGTTTTCAATTCTTTTTAATCTGTTGAGAATTGTGTTAAAACCCAGCATATGGTAAGTTTTGGAAAACCTCCATAAGTACTTAGAAACAATGTGTATGCTGCAATTATATAGTTCTGTACTCTCAAATATCAAAACCAAACTGTTAGTTGTGCTACTCAACCTTTGATATTTTTGTTTTGTCAATCTACTGATCTTGTGTCAATTACCAAGGGAACTGGATTAAAAATATTGTACTAAGATTTGTTCTGTTTTATTCTGTCAACTTTTACTTTATTAATTTTAACATTGTATTATAAGGTCTACCTAAATTCAGAATTATTATATGTTCCAGGGAGACACTTGGCTCAAATTCGTACTTGTCGCATTTTAGCACAGCTGTGCCAATTTTCTTTTGTTTGATTATTAGAAGACATATCTTCCTTCTATCCTTTTATTTTCAACTTTTCTAAATATCTTTATTTCAATCTTTTCTAGGAAACAGATGACTAGATTTTGTTTTTATATTCAGTCCAAAACCTGTTGGCCTTTAATTGGAATATCATTCTCTCACTTTAGTAAACTTTGATTTCCTCACATCTATATGTAGTCATCAAGTGTTCTGTAGTTAAATGCACCATCTCACGATATCCTAGTTGACACACCTGTTCCTTTTCCATGTCTTTCTTGCCTTCTTCCAATTCCATGGAGAACTGGTCACCATCCTCATTTTCCCATCTATTCCCTTGCTAGATATACAAAGATGCCCTTTTATGCTGGTTGTTACTTAATAATAAAATCTCAAACCCTTACCTATTAAGATGTAATATTAGTTTATCAATTCCCATGTTATATGAGGATTTGAGGTTTTCACACCCACTCATCTCTCTTCCTGAAATACATGCCATCATTTTCATGCATTTGAATTATATGTGTATTTGAGCTTCTATTATTATCAGACTTTTGTAAAATAATTATTTATGCTTTTTTATTTCTCTATATTCTATCAAGTGTCTAGGACTATTTTTCTTCTACTTCAATAGCATTTATTTTATTTATTATTTCCTTTATTCCCGATCAGCTATACTCAAATTCTCTAGGTTCTTGTTTTCTAAAAATGTTTTTATCTCACTTATTTTTTAAAAGTATATTTCACTGGATATAATTATAGGCTGGTGATTATTTTCTTTCAACCATCTAAAAATATCATGCCTTCTTGATTTCATGCTTTCAGTTAAGAAATCAGTTGTTAGTATTGCCCCTAAGAGAGGGAACATGCCTTTTCCCCTCTAGCTGCTTTTAAATTTTTTTCTTCCTGTTTTCAGCAGCTTTACCATGATATCTCTTAAGTTTCTTTGTACTTATTCCCTTGGTTTCCACAGAATTCTTCAATCTGTAGCTTGATATCTTCTGTCATGTCTGAGAAACTCTTATTTATTTCCCAAAAGAAAAAGTCTAATAATCCTATCTATTTTTTTCAAAAATGTAGAAATCTAGGTATATTTTTGAAAGTAGAGGTAGCAGAAGAAATCACAGCTTAGTGGAAAACTGTTCTTCCTTTAAACATATAAAGTAATTTTATGCTAGAAGTTCAAAAGAATGTATACTGTCTTAAAATATTCATTTCCCAGATTTTACAAAGGGAAATAAATACAATAATTCTATAATAAATTCTATATTAAAGTTTCTATACTCTTAAAATCAATAAATGAAAAATAAATTAACAATATTTCAAACATAAAGAGAATGCTATATATATAAATAGGCAATTTATTAAACAAGAATCAAATGACTACATAAAATAACACTATTCATAGCAGTAATTGGATAAATGCACATTACAATATCAGTAAGATATTACTCATACCTACCACATTGACAAAAGTAAAAATCCTGATAGTTGTATTGGTGACAACATGAAGACACAAAGACACTCATACCCTGCTGTTGGAAGTATACATTACCACAATCACCTGAAAAGCAATTCAGCAACATGCAGTCAAGTTGAGGGTGTTAATACCCTCAGACACAGCAATTTCACTTTTCAATGTATACCCTAAAGAAACTATTGCACACGGTCACAGGAAGAACAGAAGACATATATTACAGCATTGTTGATAACAACAAAAGAGGAAAATTGAACCAAATATCATAAGCTTTGTACTTCAGAGGAAACTAGATGATGAAACAGAAGAAATATTTTTAAATTTGCGAATATCAATAAAATATGAGTTCAAAGAAGAACAAATCCTAGGAAAAATTCTATCAGAGCTCAGTTACAGTGTTAAATAAAATTCCTCATCTAAAATTAACATGATATAAGCACTTATCAGTATAAGTAATGCATGCAAAATGGTATTTCTGTGGGATTAGAAATCATCTTAAAGTGAATCATTTATATAAATGATGGCTACACAGAAAAGTTATTTATGTATTTTATGATATTGCTACATAATAACATGTTGTTAGTTGGTATAAATATGGAAAAAAATCCAAGATTTCTGTGAAAATATTTGGTACATGCCACCACAACACAAATATGAAATACAACAAACACCAAATCTTCTCCTTACCATGCTTCTGCCCCATCTACTCACCAAGTCTTAGGGTTAACTTCATACTTATAAAGGTCATCTACCAATCCATATTTGTTGCCTGGCAATGCTTTATAGCCTCCATGAACATAAATGGACTTAGTTATCTCATCATACACACTTGTATGCCCATATCCACCTTGCACAATAGCGCCTTTTGTTTCTGGAACAAGCCAAGTGTTTGACGCTATAATGGAAAGAAAATAAACCATAGGTTTTTAAAAATACAATTCATATACCACCAAAACTATCAACAAGTTAGTTTTAGTGACACATTTTTATGAGTAAATACTGTATACTTAATAGTCATTTAGTATTAGTATTATACTAATCAACAAGTTAGTTTTAATGACACATTTTTATGAGTAAATACTGCGTACTTAATAGTTATTTAGTATTACTTAATAGTCATGAAATGTATTAAAAATGTGCTAAGTGCTACATTAGATACTAAGTAACACTAAAGCTGAGTAACACTTGTCCTTCTGTAGAGAAATTTATACTCTGAAATACTGAAAATCCGAATTTCTGTGTGCAAGAGAAAAGGGAAATTTGTCACATTTGAAAAAATTATCATAAATTGCATCTTTATTCTTCTACACATTTTCGGATTCAAATATAAGCCTAAATAAACTATTTAGCAAGTATTTTATGAGAGCCTACTATGTGACTAACTTTTAATTAGTCACTAATATTATAAAAATAAAAATCATATGATCACTGTCCTTAACTAAAATTTATTCAGCAAATTTTCAACAAATGCTGGTCCTAAAACTAAATTTCCAAGGCTCTTGACAACTGTGTTATTGTTAGGATCCACCAATTTAAGTAACAATAAGAGATTAGAAGACAAAGGAAGAAACATCTTCTTCTTATTTCTCTAGAAGCAATAAGAGACAGATGGCAAACAGAAGTAATGGCAGTGTTGGCTTCATAACACTGAGTAGGGGTATTTCCAGCTTAGGGACAAAAGTGGCACTTGCAGTAGCTCAGGAGCTGATGTGATCACAGGCTCCAGCCTTGCTGCATTTCAGCTTCTAGATTTCCAGGTGATCCCACTGCCTTGGGTATCCTTAGCCCTTCTAGCATCTGTGTAGTAAATTCTCTACATTAAATTCCACTCTACTTGCTGTATTTAGCAGAGGCACTTACTCCCTATTGCTGGTTCATTTATAGAGATAACCATATGCAAGGCATACTTATAAGAACATGCAGATAAAAAGCATGTAGTTTGTTGGCCTTAGAAAATTTAGATGATAAAGAGCAACTATAAAGAAATCTGTCATTTGTTTTTTTGTTTGTCTGTTTTGGGATTTTGGTACCAGGGATTGAACTCCGGTGCTTAACCACTGAGCAACAACCCCAGGCCTTTTTTGTATTTTATTTAGAGACAGAGTCTCATTGAGTTGCTTAGGGCCTTGCTAAGTTGTTGAGCCTGGTTTTGAACTCGCAATCCTCCTGTCTCAGCCTCAACTGCTAGGATTACAGGCATGTGCCACCACACTGGGCTGTCATTTGTTTATAAATGTGCAACCCAGACCACAACTGTATCATACCTCTATCTTGTCACCTAAACTTTGACATTCTAGAGAGTTCACTGAAAATACCCAAACTAATAAAAAATGAAAATGATGGTTAAAAACTCTTCACGTTTAGAAAATTCTAAGGTAGTGAAGAAAGTGATTCTTCACTGGCTATAAAAAATATGAAGTATCAAAGGAATCATTAAAGCCAATTGTGCTTTACAGAATTTGATTAATATTCTTTAGCCACTTGTTAAATGTTCACATATGCCTAAAATAAAATTTTTTCATATTCTTGCTTGTTCTTTTTTTTTAATATTTATTTTTTAGTTGTAGTTGGACACAATACCTTTATGTTATTTATTTATTTTTATGTGGTGCTGAGGATCAAACCCAGGGCCTTGCATGTGCTCTACTTCTGAGCCATAACCCCAGCCCATCTTGATTGATCTCTTTTTAAAAAGAAAGATAAACTGGCTTTGTAACAAAAATATTGAATAAAAAGTTATAAATGTAAAAGTGAAAAAATAAAGTTTGCCCAAGCCCACTTTGTAGAGTTATTTTTCACCATCTTATATATTCTGTATGTTCACAGTGATAGTTCTAAACATTTTAGTATATACACATTTTAGTATAAAACACATACAGGAGATATATATATATATATATATATATATATATATATATATATATATACACACATACATACACACACATATATATATTTGTGTCTCCCAAAATACTGTTTGGTGGTTATTCTTTACTTAAAACATTTGAGGAATCTGTTCACACCCTTTCTTACATTTTTAGCAGCTAAATTTCATTATATTGGTAATGTGTAACAGAATGTTTAAAAAACTATTGAAAATATGCTCAAGTATGTCCAATAACATTGCAGAGAAATGGAAGATTTTTAAAAAAGAATAAAACAGGATCCAAAGTTTAGCACAGTGGTAGAGTGCTTGCCTAAGTGCACAAAGTCATGATTTAATATCCATGACCTGCACAAGAAAAAAATGAGATGCCTAGAAATGAAAAATACAGTACCTAAAATGAAAATACATTTAAGAGTGTTAACACAAGATTAGATATTATAGGGGGAAAGAACTTAAAATATGTGGTCATGGTAGGGTAGATAGAAATAATGTTTGAAGAAATCATTTCCCAAATTTAGTGAAGCCTTAATTTCACAAAACCAAAAAGGTGAAATACAAATAAAGGGGGAAAAAATATAAAGAAACCCCCATCAAAGAAAATCCTGAAGTAGAAGATGAGCAAGCAGAAGAAAAAGGTAAGAAGGGCCATGAAAGTAATTTTAAAACTACTAAGATAAGGAAAAAACTGTCAACCTAAAATTTCTGTTCTAAAACCAAAAATAGGTCTGGGTACGAGGCTTGGTAATACAGCACCTACCTCACATGCTTGGGACCCTGTGGTATATTCCAAGTACCATAGAAATTGAAATTAAAAAACAAAAGACCATCAAAGTAGAATTCTATGCCCAGAAAAATATTTTTTTCAAAAATAAGAGAAAAAGAAAAGTCTATTAAGACAAAAATGAAAAAAGCAAGCAAAGACATACCCTATAAGAGATGGCCACAGAAATTCTTTAGACTAAATGAAAATGATAACTAATACCAGATGAAATCTACTTATACAGACAAATGAAGAATATAGGGAAAAATTAAGATGTAAATAATTATAAAATAATTCATCTCTCAATTTTTGTCTACTTAAAATTTTCAAAACAAACATAACAATTTCATAGAAATATGATATCAGCTCAAAGGAAAGGGAATAAAATACAGATATACTGTTGCCAGGTTCTAACACTATATAACATGTTATAACTTTATTTGCAGGTAGAATATGACAAGATTAAGGTATATATTGTAAATCATAGTGAAATCATACAAAAATAAAACAAAAAGTAAAATTAATGAAGTAATAGTCCTATTGATTCAAAAAGATAAGCAAATTATAAACATTATTTTCAAAGAAATTCACACCAAAAACATAAACTACTGAAAACTAAAGATGAAAAAAATATTGTGGAAGTGACTAGGAAAAAAGTGACAAATTACTTATAGAAGAACAACAATTCAAAAAAACTGTGACTTTGGGCCAGATTGTAGCTCTGTGATAGAGCACTTGCCTAGCATGCATGAGGCAGTTGATTCAATCCCCAGCACCACATAAAAATACACAAATAAAATAAAGATATTGTGTCCATCTACAACTATATATATATATTTTTTTTTTAACTGTGACTTTAGACCATAGAAGCCAGGAGGAAGTAGCTCAGCGTTTTCCTTCCTTTGTGGGTGTGTGTGGCTCAACATTTTTTAAGTGCTGAAAAATAACTATAATTCACAATTCTATATGTACAAACATATCCTACATAGACATTTATAAACACATTTTCAGATGCAAGGAAGATAACCCATATATTTAATGGAACTGTTCTAAAAGAAATGCTAAAAGAAGCTCTTAAGAACAAGGGGAAATGGCAAAGAAAGAAAACTTAGAATGAAGAAAGAACAATAGATGAGATAAATACTTGGGTAAATAAAGACTATTTTCTTCTTCCTTCTTGTCCATTTGATGGGGTGAAACAAAAATAACAACATGTCCTTATGGGGTTTCCAATATACGTAGACACAGTAAGTAAGCAGCTACAATATAAATTGGAGAGGGTAAACTGTGGTAAGGCTTCTACATTCCAACCCACAAGGCAAAATATTGACGCTAAATAAAGTGTAAAAAGTTAAGGACATATCTTAAAATCCAAAGAAAAAATTACTTTTCAAAATTACAAAGATAATGTCAAAATCACACTAAATAAGTTTAAAGTGGAATACTGCAAAAAAAAAGTCAAATAATACAAAAGAAAACAGGAATGAAATGAAAGTAAGCAAAGAAGAAATGAATAACAAACTAGTAGACCTAAATTTAAGCACTTCAACAATTATGTTAAAGAAGTTAATAATAAAGAAAAATGAAATTATATAACATATTCACATAGTAAAAAGGAAAAAAGATGGAATGACAAATAGAGGACAAAAATCAAAATAGCATGATTAAACTCAATCACATTGATAACCATACTAAATGTAGATTGTATAAAATACACCAAGTAAAAGGCAGCATCTGTTTTTCCAGAGTTGTAATTTTAACTATTTTATCAATTGGATCTGCTCTCAATAATAGCTCTTTTCCTTTCTCCCATCGCCATCCCTTTTCTCTCTCCTTCATTCTCTTTTCTCTCACTCTATCTTCTCCCCTCTCTGTCCATCTCTTCTTTTTTCTTTCCTCTTTTTTATTAACTATTTTCCTTATTTTTGTCCCTTCATCCAGTTCAACTTAGTATATTATCATCAATGCTTAATCTTTTCAGCATGTTCTATTTTATCTCTGACCCACTTTCTCATTGGTTAATAGTTTTTTAGTAACAATTTTCATAGCATATGCTGCAATATGGTTACCCCTTCCTCTCATAATTCATGAGGATTGCTGACGTTAATTAACGTTTGAATTATGCTGATCAGATATACTCAAGTTAAGATATAGCCCCTGTCTAAGGCTTATCATAAAAAAGATATTCCACAAAGGACCCACATATTAAAGAGGAATCCATCTGAACAGATAAACATAGGAACTAAAA